CTGGCAAGCAGGTGCAAGTGTAATCATTGATCAGGTCATGACAAGTGCCCCCACTGGAACATGGACTCCGGGCACATTCATTGATGTTTATCTCACACTTCTGACCAGAGAAACCAGCACGGCATCGGCACACACGGATTTGACCCAAGTCATAGCAGTGACCACCTGGGAGGGGGAGGGGGGTGTCAAAGGGGAAAAAAAATTTAAAAAAAGAAAAAAAAGAGAAAGAAAGAAATCAGTGCAGTTCATTCTGGACACTAAAAATCTCTTTCTTGGTAAGCTTTTAAAAATCACCACAGTGGAAGGGACATACTTGCGCATTAATATGTAATAACAAGAGCCATGACTAAAAAGATTCCGAGTTGCCAAATGATACCACTGTGGTCCACATGAATGCCTCTTTAAAGTGTATATAGCTACAGTCAAATTTATTTTCTGTATTTCTCCCTTTTCTACCTCTATTGATAAACCCTCTGGAATTCTGATGCACTGGTCACTTGCATACAAATACAAGAGAGTGCTTCTGACACCATACTTTAGTACGGTAACATAAAGAATATAATGGAAAAAGGAAGACTGGTAGATCAGAGAAAAGGCTAAAAATTGGATTAAGGCCTGTCATTTTTGTAGAGAAGAGCATGAAGGAGCCAGAGAGAAATGTGGATGCTTCTAGGGAGAAGACTTACCATTTGCACATGGGTTACTTGTGCACCTGTCCACTTTCTTTTCACAATTAGATCCTGTAAAGCCCAGGGGGCAGAGGCAAGTGTAACTGGCCCCTTGTTCCTTTTCCAAGCATGTGCCCCCATTAAAACATGGAGAATCAATACAAGTCAAAGCACTGTGCTCACAGTGAGTTCCATAGTATCCAGGTGGGCACATGCAATGGTAACCATTCTCCATATCCTGCAAAATTAAAAAACATAGCATCAGACCCGGCCGTTTAATTCCATTGTCTAGCAATTACTTTCAGCTGTTATTCTACCCTCCTCCTCCACCAAGGTTAATTTACGATTCTCAGTGGCAAGTAGAGTACTGGGAGGGGAAAATATGCAGCTAGGACTCAGAGGGATTAAGCAGCCACATATATATATATATATATATATATATATATATA